CGCGCGGGCGGCCATTCTCGGGCGCCGCCTCCTGAGCGCGCGCCGCGGTGCCTGCCGCTTCGCTCGGGCTGCGGGCTCGCGCCGTTGGCGGCTATAGCTCGAGGTTCGCTCGGAGCGTCGCGCTGCGGCGCCCCTCGTTGCCTTCGCCTGCCTGGGTGCCAAGCCGGCCGTTGACTTCGTGGTCCTGGCCGCGGATGCTTCGTCGGGCTCGGCGACTCGGGCGGCGCGGGCTTCGGGGGGTACGCAGTCGCCGAGAAGGGTTGGAGCCAGGGCGCTATCTGGGCGGCCGCCGCATGTGTGGAGCGCTGGCGCTACGTGGTCGGGGGGGGGCGGCGGAGGCTCGGCGCCGTGCTTCGGGCGGATTCGACCGCCGAGGCGGTCTGGCAGAGCCTCCAGAGCTCGTTCTTCAAGGTCGACCCGCCCTCGAGAAAGGTGTGGTGGAAGCGAACTTCAGCGAGGTCGACCCGACAATCTTGCTGCCGCTCGACTCGTGGAAGCTGGAACTGTTCGGGAGAGGGCGGCGGCCCGAGGGCATGGCGCGCTTGGAAGGGCGCGCGCTGATCACGGGCGCGCGGTGCCGTTTGCGCAGCGCGTCGGCCCTCTGCGACCCGAGCCTGGTCTTGACTCGCGAACGAGGGGCGGTCGTCGCATTTCGCGTTGAACCAGACGTGCAGGGAGTTGGCAGCCTTGAGTATCCTGGCGGGAGTCTCCGCGGCCGTTCTGCGGCCCCCGAGTGAGTCGGATTCGGCTGACAAGGGCAGTCGCGCCATCGGCCGCCAGCCTGCCTCCCGCGACAGTGACCGACGCCATGCCGGCGGGTTCGGGGCCGACGAGGCGCGGGGCCTCGCTGCCGCGGCCTTCGTCCGCGCCTGCGGCGAGGCAGCGGTCCGGCGCTGCGCGGGGGGCGCCTGCTTCCTCGGCGACGCCCGAGGAACGCGAGCGCGCTGGCCTCGTCCCCGCCGCCGAGGGCGCTGGCCAGTCACGCGGCGCCGAGACGGGCCCGGTGGGCGACAGCGGCGGCGCCGCAGGCGTCGGCCACGCCGAGTCCGACACCGCGTCCAGCAGCGACAGTGAGGTGGAGAGGTCGCCCAGTGACGTCGGCCGAGATGCTGGGGCAGCAGCGAGCATCGGCCAGATCCGACCGCCATCGCGACGCGCGAGCCGACGTCGAGCCTGGGCTGAGCTTCTCGCAGACAAGCGAGGTCAAACCACTCGCGCGTTCCACCTCCAGGGGGCGGGCGCGCAGCTCCCTCGAGTGGGCCACGAGATCTCGGCCCGTCGCTTCGACCAGCTCGCCGCGAAGCACCTGGGTGCGCGGCGGGGCGGAGGACGGCGAAGGGTCGAGGCTCCAAGCGGCGCCGCAGTACCTGCGACCGAACCTGGGCACCGCCAAGCACGGCAATTTCCCAGAGGCACGGGCGGCGCTGGCGAATTTCCGCCATCGGGCGCACGGAAACTCCCGAAAGCCCTCGCGCCGCCCGTGGGTGTTGGCCGTCGTGGGAATCAGCCTGCTGCTGAAAGACCTGGAGTTGCCGACGGCGCTGTGGCTGGCCTGGGGCGGCATGCCCCGCCTGCCGTCGGACCTGGCGGGCATGGCCACGAGGGCCCTCGTCGGTCCTGGCAGAGGTCCGCAGTCTGTCTGGGCCCTGCTGCTGTGCCCGAGCTGCGAGAGGGCGAGGGGCAAGGTCACGGGAGCCGACGAGGGGGTGGTCGTTCTTGAGAGCTGGTGGGCTCAAGAAGGCGGGGTGGTTTTGAAACGTCTGCGGGGCACGAAGGGCCCCGGTTGCCCGCTCTGGTCGTTCGACGGCCCGTGGTTCAACAAGCGCTTCAAGGGGCGGCTGGCAGCCGTGCCCGGAGCGCCCTCGGCCGTGGCCTGCCAGGCGCGCCACGGGGCAGCGAGCCACGCGGCCGCGGTCGGCCAGATGCCCTTGGCCTCCGTGACCGAGCGGCTCCGCCACATGAGCACGCGCATCAGCTCGCGCTGCGCCAATCACGTCTGCGACCTTGCCTTGCTCAACAGCGTGCCGCAGGCCATGGCCCAGTGGAGCGACGCGATCCACGAGCGGCTGACAGGCCTTCTGAACGGCACGGCCCGGGCATCCTCGAAGCTTCCGCCTTCTTGCCGCCAAGTGTGCTGCCGACCTTGCGCGGCATCTGCGCAAAATGTTCCGTTCCGGCTGCCAAGAAAGGGAAATGTTCTTCAACATAGTGTGTTCTAAAGGTAAAAGATGAAATAACAAAGAGCTTCAGTGAGAGTGCTGACCACCTCGGGGAATGCCTCCTTGTATGATCTGGACGTCGTGAGAAAGGTGCTCATGGGGGGGGCGCCTCTCGCGTCGTGCGGGGTATTCGCGTGGTGCTTCCCGACTTCGGTGCCAATCACATCGGAGATACTAACTACGAGCTGCGCTCGTCCATCCGCCAATGCACCTTTAACTGACTAGAGCTTGCTAATGCTGCCTTTTCCGCTGGGTGCCCAGCGATGGTAACCAGCCCAGGGAAGAATCACCCCAGGCAGTCCGTGAATGTCTCGATTTCTGGTGCCGCTGTCGCAGAGCTCGGTCCTCCAGGGTGGCCCCGTGCTCGTTTTCGCCCTGGGGACGCCGCGGGGCGCCCGAAATCTTGACGGCCCTCAGTGGACCCGTGCTTTATTACGTAAGCCAGTGCTGTCACGGCCGTGGTGCGACCCCTTGTAAATCGCCGGTCGCTTTCCTGAGGCGCTCGCTGGCCGCTCGCATCCGCACTCTTCTCAGTACGGCCGCCGACAGGATCCAGATTCATAATTTGCCCCGCCGGGTTAGCTGACGTGGTTCAGGGGCCAATTCGGGCGGCTTGGGGACGACAGGTTCCGTTGCGATGTGAATTCAACCAGTGCGCCTATCGAGAGATACGGTCTTTCAGGGAAGAACGTTTGTGTGGCGACGCTCGGGGGGGGGGGGGATGGGCTCAGTCTGTTCTTGAACGTTTTGCCTGTCTGCCCCTTCCGTGCCCTGCTTGGCGGGGCCTCCGCCGAAGCCTTCTAATCCAGAAAGGGGGACGACATGTTCCGCTGTGATGTGAAGTCAACCGCTGCATCCATCGAAAGATACGGTCTTTCAAGAAAAAGCGTTTGTATGGCCACGCTCGGGGAGGGCTCACCATCATCATCATCATCATCATCATCATCATCATCATCATCATCATCATCATCATCATCATCATCATCATCATCATCATCATCATCATCATCATCATCATCATCATCATCATCATCATCATCATCATCATCATCATCATGATCATCATCATCATCATCATCATCATCATCATCATCAGCAGCATCAGCATCAGCATCAGCATCAGCATCAGCACCATCAGCAGCATCATCATCATCAGCATCATCACCATCATCATCGCCATGGCTTCCGAACCGTGTGCCGTGACATCGAGCGCCTGTGGCTCGACGGCGAACCGGTTCTTTGGTCGGCCCGCCCGTCTTGGATACAGTTGTCTGCGACATACCAAGCGCGAGCGGTCCGTGATTCGTTGAATTCACTTTCCCAGGTGAGGATCATATCCGAGCCGTTTTCCAAACAGCTGTACAGGGTTCTTCGGCGACAGGCACCGGACACCAGTCTTCTTTAGATGATCGGTGCCAAGCTTGGGAAATGGTCCTTGGTCCCTCTTCCTCCCCCCTCTGCTTCTTCCCCTGTTGTTGCCCGCCTTTCCAAGCTGAAAAGGTAAGCTTGGAATCGTGTTCCATTTAATCGGCGCGATGTGTAACGGCTGGCATACTTCAGCCCGTTTCTCGCAAAGTGCGTTGCAATGTAGATTCTGTAGCACTGACGGCGGAAACCTTACTAAGCACTACCTTGAGTGTCCACCGTGTTGGGATTTGTGAACGGATGAGCGCTCTTCGAGTGGGCCCCCGACGCCCAGGCAATGTTGGTTATGCAGTGGTGGCTTGCTGCGCACCCCGAGCACGCCCCAAAATAGTTTTATCCAGGCTGCTCTTGTCAACGAGGCGGTTTGGGGGCTATTCCAGTATGCGCGTGCGTCCCACGTTGTCTGCGCTGTTGCCCAGTGTATTGCCACTTTTCGGTCGAGGTTTCGGGCGCTCGCTCGCTTAGACTCTTGGGTTCGGTATTGGATCCACGAGATGCTTCGATAGACTGGTGGGTGGCAGTGGGACGGGTTATACGTAGGGTGCAAGTTGTGCTCGCCCCTCTCCCTCCTCCTCCTCCTTCTCCTCTTCCTCCTCCTCCTCCTCCTGTCCTCCAGTCTCTTTCCCTCTCATCTCCCCACTTCGCGTCTTCTGCAAGAGAGGTGTCGTGACAATTTCGTGCTGGTTTCATTGCTGAGGGCGATGTGAAACGCAACGCTTTGTCAACGCCGTTTGTCGTGACACCGAATGTTCGAATGCTGTCCCTCAAGTTCGCCAGCCGCTCATGCAGGACACAGGTACTCACACGGCCTGGCCTATTCCATATTCTTTGGTGATCGGTTGCCCTCGCAGCCCGTCCCCTTTCCGTGTCCAGAGGCCAGTCCCTGACCGCGTTCGGCTGTCGTGGTATCCAGCAGTGGTGTCAACGAATTGGCGCGTCGCAGCGCTCTGGCCCTCCTCCGCCTCTTCCTTTGCTTGCGCTTCCTCTTGCTCAACTTTTTAACGGATCAGCTCATTGTCGGGCTCGTGCTGCGGCGACCTCGTGCAGCGGAGCATTCGATCATGATTTTCTTCTCCCTCTACTCCTTGCCCTTCTCCCCTCTTCCCTCTTCCCCCTCTCCTCGATTATCTCCTCTTCCCCTCTCCTCGATCATCTCCTCTTCCCCGCCCCATCTCCCCGATCATCTTCTCTTCCCTTTCTCCTCGAGGACCAAGGCTTTCGGACTCTCCTTGCCCCTTTTGGGCCTCGGGGGGCCTCCTTCTCTCTCCTGTCTCTCTCTCTGCTCGCGCTGCCGCCGCTCCCCCGTCGCCCCACCCCTTGTGCGCTCGCTGACGGGCGCGATAAGATGCCCTCCAGGCGGACGCGCGGAACCCCTCCTCGGCGCTGGTTGGGCGCGTGAAGGAGCAATGGGAGGAGGAGGAGGGAGGAGAATCAGGGAATGAGGAGTTGGAGGAGCAGGAGGAGGAGAAGGCGGAGGCGGAGGAGGAGGAGGAGGAGGAGACCATGGAGACCATGGCAGACAAACAACTCACCGCCGAATCACCGAGCCCTCGCGCGCCGCGTGCCTCGCAGGCGTGCCACCTTGTGTCTCGCCTCGCGCGACCGGCGGCCGCGGCCCCAGCTCCGGCTGCCGCTTCGCAGTCCAGCTGGGACCCGGAGACTTCGACGACGCCCACAACAGGAGCAAACATGCCAGCTCGGAGGAGGTCCTCGCAGATTTTTTGGGTTGGCGCTGGGCCCCCCTCCTCTGCGCGCGGAGCGCGCCAAGGGCGGCGCCGGAGGCGCCGCTGCGGGGGAACAGCGCCGATCCAGGAAGTCTGCGCGGACCTCCGAGCTGTTATGTTCACGTCATCGTTTAGAGCTCTGTACCACCTTGTCGGAGCAGCCCTCACGAGGCCCACAGGGCCCAGGGCTGCAAAGTTGAGCGAGAAGCTGGGGGCACCTTGGGCCAGGGGGCATCTTTGGCAAACTCCGATTGGCGGAGCGCCCCGCTGGCCGCTGCCCCGCGCTGGGAAACAGACCGCGGCCCATCTGCTCTGTGTAGATGGTGCCCGTGCCTGGTGGCGCCGGCGGGCGCTCGCGCTCAGCTTCGACCGCCTGGCGGTGCGGCACAGCCGCGCGCCTCGCAGAACAACGCAGAGCAAAGCATACCCACCGCAGAGCAACGCAGTACAACGCGTCGTCGCCGCCGCCGCCGCAGCCGCCGCCGTCGTCGTCGTTGTCGTCACCGTCGCCGTCGCCGTCGCCGTCGCCGTCGCCCAGCCGGCGAGGCCGCGGCCGCCGCTCCGCGAGCCCGCCGCAGGCCGCGGCAAGGGCTCCGGAGCCGTTCCGCCTGGCCGCCGAGCAGCGGCGCGCCCTGCAGCTGCGGCCCTCCTTGCGCAGGCTCGCGCCTCGCGCTGAGCCGCCATCAGGCGCGGTGCGGGGGTCGCCTGGCGCGGCCTGTCGGGGCGCCGCTGCTTGCGCCCCTCGGCGGCGGCGGCGGCGACCGCATCAGCCGCCAGAGCCGCCACGAGTCTAGTTCCGGCGACACGCCGGCGATCCTCCTCGCTCACTCGGCAGGCCTGCAGCGGCCGTCCACCACGGCGCTTGCCGTGGTGCAGCAGGGGGCCAGGGAGCAGGGAGCCCCCGAGCGTCGGCCTCCTCGGCCGTGAAATGGGGGAGCATGTGCTCGACCGTGCGCCCGCAGCGGGCCCGCGTGGCGAAGACGACGCTAAGCGCGTGCCACAGGTCGGCGTCGGGGCCACAGGGCGAGTGATCCAGCCGCAGCCACCAACCCTTGCACACGGCCAAGTTCTCGGTGCAGAAAGCCACGTACCCTTCCACAGGGCCAGGTTTCAGTTCCATACCTTGAAGGTCGTCCGTCGTAGGCCTGCGGCGGCCCTCGATCTCTGTCGCGTCCTCCTCCGGGCTGATTGTCCGCAGGATCGTCACTACCTACGCATCCAGGCGGCATGTCAATTCAAGTTGGGATGAACCCGCTCCGCCACGGCGGCTGCGTCGATGAACCAAGACGACAAAGACTTACGATCCCTCGGACGGCCGCCAGGCGCCCTGTGGCGGTCCTGGTTGGTCTGCACTGAGCCAAGAGACAACTGGCGGAGACGTCGCGCTGCCTCTGCCTCCAGCTGCTCCTGCGGATGCTCCTCCACCTCGCCCTCATTCTCGCACCTCCTCGCACCGCCTCGTCCAGGCTGGACGGGATGAGGAGGGAGGAGTAGGCTGCTCGTGGCCCGACGGCCAGCGCGGCTGGCGTTGTCGCCTGCTGCTGTCCCTTGCGGGCCTGCGCGGCCAGCGCGGCGCCGTCAGTTCAGCGCGGCATGCCGCATAATCTCCGACGGGAGCAAGACGGGACATTTGGTAGATATGCCAATCTGTTGTCGTATCTATTGGTACGGGGGAGAGCGGGCAACTTGGGCAGAACAGCCCCAGCTAAAACAGCTGCGGCTGGAGCGAACAAGGTGGGACACGAGGGCTGAAGGGAAGCGCACGGGATCACAATGAGCCTGGCGCGACCCCAATTAGGGAAACATGTTCTATTGCATGGGCGCATTGCTGGGCATTCTTTGGCATTGTTTGGCATTGTTTGGCAGTGCTTGACAGTGCTTGGCGTTGCTAACGTAGTATTTGGCATCACGCTTGGCATTGCTTTGCATTGCATGGCAATGAGTTGCGTCGTTTGGCATTGCTTGGTATTCCTTGGCATATTGCTTGCTAGAGTGATTGGCATTGCCTGGCATTCCTCAGTATTGCTTGACCTTGCTTGGCAGTGCTTTTCTTGCGTGGCATATTGCTTTGCACTGCTTGGCAGTGCGTGGCGAGGCAAAAGAGAACTCAGACCAAGGAACCAAGCAACCAAGACCAGGGAACCGAGTGGCTGAGACCACGGAAGCAAGGAACCAAGGAGTCAAGACCAGGGGTTCAGGGAACCAAAACGAGAAATCAAGATCTTGGAACCAAGGCGCCGAGACCAAGGAGGCGAGGAACTGAGGAACCAGGACCAAAGAGCCACAGAACCAGGACCACGTCACCGAGGAGCCGAGGCCAGTGAACACGGGGACCGAGACCACTCAACCAAGGAACCGAGGAACCACGGAGCCCGAGGAAGGCCGTAAGGGAGGCAGTGAGGAAGCACTTTTGGCTGGTTTTGCAGAGCAATGTACAATCGGTCGAGTGGCGTCCGGAGCTGTTCCCCTCAACGGGGTCATCATAGCAGCTGAACAGAACAGAACCGAACAGAACAGAAAGGGAGCGAGACCGGGGAAGCCGAGGGAGGCCAGCCGGCGCAGGCCCACCGCCCAGCGGTCCTCCGAGAACGAGTGAGAGCTCCGTCGGCAGAGCCTGCAGTCAACCCGCACAGTATCGCCCCAGCAGCTCTCCAAGGCTGCGGCTACCCCTCAGGGCTGGCCGTAGAAGCTTCTCGCGAGAAGCGGGAACCGCCTAGCAGGATCGGGCAGCACGGGCATCGTTTCCAAAGCCCCGTTGGCAGTATCAGAAGCCCCGTCGGCAGGATCGCGCGTTCCCTGCATCCGTCCCCTTCGGCCCATCCTTCCCCTTCGGCCCATCCGCCCGCAGTGTGTCGACGTGGTCCTCCAGGGCCCCTTGCATCCTCATCGTGCGTCCTTATGTTTTGCGGGCTCAGGGTCCGCCTTCAGTCCGTGGAACTACTGCGACCTTGTCAGGCGAATGCTCGCGGCGCTAAATCGAGAGCCACATGTTGAGAAAGGCCCGCCTCCCATCCGTGATAGTTGTGCAGCTTCTTGAGATGGATGCGAGAACCGCATTTTAAAGACGACCCGCCCTCCATCCGTGAAACGTTTGCGAACTTTTGAGACGAATGCTCGCGGCGCCAAGGCGACATCAACACTTTGACAACGGGCAGTCTTTCATCTGTGAAATTGTTGCCATCTTGATCTTCAGAGTCACTAGTGGTGAAGATTATCAGGCGGAACCGACACGTCTCGGAATTCGACAGGGAGGAGTTACTTATAAGGTAGTGGAATGGAGGAGCAGTACCAGCAGCAGCAGCAGCAGCAGCAGCAGCAGCAGTTCAGCAGTAGGAAGTGGAGGAGAAGGAGGAGGACGAGGAAGAAGATGAGGAGGACCAGTGTACACCCAAGACGCATTGATGTTGCTGCAACAAGCCCTCTAAGTTTCTTCGTCACCGGTCCCTGCAATAACTCATTTCCATTGCGAAAGTGCCCATTGGAGGACAGCAGGTGCAGAATCCCCAACCGCGCAAAAACGCAATTCCTGGGACTTCAACGCCGCGAAGCAACGTGACTTGTCGCGTCCCGACAATCAGAAATCGTGGCAGAACGTTCCCAGGCAACACTGCGAGTCAACGTTTGTGTTACGTCCTGAGAAGTCTGGTTCGTTCCGGAATGCAGTTCCTAGGATTGCAACCGTACGAGCCTGGGAATTTGCTCGATTATTTTAAGTCGAGCGTTCGCGGCGCTAAGGCGAGAGCCACTTTTGGAACACGGTCCGCGTTCCTTTTTCCATTGACAACAGGAGATGCTGCAGATGTTTCAGACGAGTGTCGGCGGCGCTAAGGCGAGAGCCACACTTTGATGACGGCTCGCCCTCTATCTTCACGCTGCTGCAGACTCTTAAGACAAATGTGCACTGCGCTAAGGCGGGAACCTCATGTTCAAAACCGGCCGCCCTCCATCCGTAAAACTGCCGCAAATTTCAAGCTTCAGGATCATACGTGGTGAGGAATGCTTAGGCGAAACGCCCGGCCCGCCCCGCCGATACGTCTGGGGTGCGACAGGTGGGAGGAGATGTTCATGAGGAAGAGGGAAGGAGGAGCAGGAGGAGGAGGAGGAGGAGAAATACGAGGATAATGAACAACACTGCGGAGGAGAAGGAGGATGGGGATGAGAAGGATGACGGGTAGTGTGATGGAGGATGGGACAGGATGAGGGGGAGCGGGAGGAGCGGGAAGGTGTGAGTTAGATGAACAGGATAGAGAAGGGGGGGGGGACGCAGGCGAGTAGTGCAAGTGAGAAGTGGGGGATGGCGAGAGAAGATGAGGGACGTGGGAAGAGGAAGATGATGATAATGATGATGATGATGATGATGATGATGATGATGATGATGATGATGATGATGATGAGGATGAGGATGAGGATGAGGATGAGGATGATGATGATGATGATGCTGACGCTGATGCTGGTGATGGTCATGGTGATGATGATGATGATGATGAGGAGGAGGAGGAGAAGGAGGAGGAGGAGGAGGAGCAGCAGGAGCAGGACCAGGACCAGGACCAGGACCAGTAGCAGGATGGCGACGAGGATTCTGGTACTTATGCTGGGCTGGTGCAGGTTTTGATCATGCTGATGATTGTCATGATTGTCATGATGATGATGATGATGATGATGATGATGATGATGATGATGATGATGGTGGTGGTGGTGGTGGTGATGATGATGATGCTGATACTGATGATGATGATGATGATGATGATGATGATGATGATGATGATGATGATGATGATGGTGATGGTGATGGTGATGATGATGCTGATGCTGATGCGGTTGCTGATGATACCAATGCTTATTTTGGCGATGCTGATGACGATGCTTATGAGTTTACTGATGATTATGATGTTGATGATGATGGTGATGATGATGATGCTGCTGCTGCTGCTGATGATGTGTATGATGATACTGGTGATGATGATGCTGATGCTGCAGATGGTGATGATGCTGATGCTGATGTGCATGATTTTGATGCTGATGCTGATGCTGCAGATGAGAAGTGGGGGATGGCGAGAGAAGATGAGGGACGTGGGAAGAGGAATATGATGATGCTGATGATGACGATGATGATGCTGATGATGCTGATGATGATGTTGATGATGATGCTGATTACGATGATGATGATGATGCTGATGATGCTGCTGATGATGATGATGAGGATGAGGATGATGATTATGATGATGCTGCTGCTGCTGATGATGATGATGATGATGAGGATGATGATGATGATGATGATGATGATGATGATGATGATGAGGATGAGGATGAGGATGAGGAGGAGGAGGAGGAGGAAGAAGAGGAGGAGGAGGAGGAGGCGGAACAGCAGCAGTAACGGCAGCAGCAGCATCAGCAGGATAAGGAGGAGGAAGAGGATGAGGCGGAGGAGGAGGAGGAGAAGGAGGAGGAGGAGGAGGAGGGGGGGAGGATAATGAAGAAGGTTGAGGAAGGGCAGGATGAGGAGGAGAAGGGGAGAACACACATGGATAGTGGGGAGAGAGAGGAGATGAACGAGACACATAAGAAGGTTGAGTGGAAGGACTAGGAGCAGGATGTGTGGAGTGGAAATTGGGGATATGCGGAGAGGGATCGGTGGAGTGGGGACAGGAGAGGTGGAGGAGGGAAGGGGGGCAGGAGAGGGGGGAGGAAGGATGGAGGAGGGGGAGAGTTGGGCGGGGGCGGAGCATCGCAAATAGTGGCGGCGTTACGCGAGGAGGCCTCCCAGATGTTCGAGAACATGGCGCAGTCTGGTGAGAGCGCGGGCAGCGGCTGCCGCGGCGGGGGTGGCTGCGGCGGAGGTGGATGCGGCGGCGGATGCGGCGGCGGGTGCAGCGGCGGCTGCTGTGGCGGGTACGGCGGCGGCGGTGGATTCGGCGGTGGATGCGGCGGCGGTTGCGGCGGTGGGTATGGCGGCGGATGCGGCAGCAGATGCGGCGGTGGGTTCGGCGGCGGGTGCGGCAGCGGATGCGGCGCCGGGTACGGCGGCGGGTGCGGCAGCGGATGCGGTGCCGGGTACGGCGGCGGGTGCGGCAGCGGATGCGGCGCTGGGTACGGCGGCGCTGGGTACGGCGGCGGGTGCGGCAGCGGATGCGGCGCCGGGTACGGCGGCGGGTGCGGCAGCGGATGTGGCGGCGGGTATGGCGGTGGGTACGGTGGCGGATGTGGTAGTGGATGTGGTGGCGGATTCGGCGGCGGGGGCTGTGGCGGCGGCGGGTTCGGAGGTTGCGGGTGTGGCGGCGGGGGCTGTGGCGGCGGTTGCGGTGGCGATGGGCTGGCCATGGAGGCGCCGCTGCCCGTCGTTGTTTCTCCTCTCTTCCTCCGTCCTCCTCCGTCCTCCTCGTCGTCGTCGTCCTCCTGACGCAGCCGGGCGGCAATGGTTTAGTCGTGCCAATTCGTCGATGCTGATATTTCCTCCACAGGGTGGTTTTGCTTTACCACTTGCTAGACTTGGACCAGCAACCCTCAAAGGCTCTGGAATCCGATGGTATCCTCCTCCTCATCATCGTCGTCGTCGTCATCATCGTCATCATCACCATCATCCACCATTACACCATATGAGTATTGGTCCCCTCTCTCCCCCGAAGATGTGCTGAGAGTGGCGCGCTCCCCTCCGCGTATTACATTTTACGCAGGATTGGTCCGAGTTGTTTGTTCTTGCTTTTTTTTCATTGCGAAAGTTTCGGCCATTCCAATGCGAGCGTTTGCGGTTCTTTCAAAATGGCGCTCTCGCTGCAGCGTGGGCCACGTTTCAGGATCGGCGATTCGTTCCCGTTGTTCAGACCGGCGCTCTCGCCCCAGCGCTGGCCATCTTTCTGGAGGCGAGTTCTTCCTCTCGTTGTCGTCCTCCTCCTTTCCCCTCCGGCTTCCCCTGGTCCTTCTGCTCCTTCCGCTCCTCCCCCGTAGCCATTTCGGCTCAATTGAGCAGGTGGACGGGAGGCCTTCGCGTCGGTGCGCGCCCGCGGCGGCGCCGGGCGCGCGCGAGTGGCCGATGGATGCGAAGTGCTGGGCGGCGGCTTCCGCCTGGACGCTGGCCCGGCGCCCGCGCCGCCAGCGGCAGGCGGAGGGGCTAGACGCATGCGGCCGCGCTGACGCGGCGCACGAAGGAGTTCATTGGCGTCTCGGTGATGCAGTCGGGCGCCACCTCCCGACCCTTGGGGAAGAGGTGGCGGCAGCGCGGCTGCCCGGTCGCGACGACGCCCTTCTGGCCGAGACAAGCGCTGCGCTGGTGGCGGGCAATGCTGCGCGCCATGCGCCGCCGCCTGGAGCGGCGGGAAGGCTCGATAAGGTACCTGAGGGGATTGATGCGCGCGCTCAAGCGACTGCTGGCGGGCGTGGTGCCGCCGCTATGTCGAGAAGCCACGCCGTTCGAGCCGGCTGTTGTCAGGAACGCGAACACGCTGCTGCGCGAGCTCGGAATGGAGCACGTCGTGTGCGACGGCAGCGTAGACGTGCCGCCAGAGCAGGGCAACCTCAGCCATGTGACCGAGGATGGCGGGGCCCCCGTGACGAGAGCGGCGTGGACGACGCGCTGGTGTCGGATGACCTGCAGCTGGAGCATGTGGGAGCTCGCGCGCTGCCTCGCTCCGTGCCCGCGGCCTTGCGGGATGCACCCGACAGTTGGGTCCTCCAAGAGCGGTACGGCGCTCCTGGTGTTGCAGGGCCCAGCGAGGCCGTGTCGGAGGCGCCCCGCATAGAGGTGCACGAGCTGTTCGACCAGCAGGTCGGCGACGACGTCGACGTGGGAGCGAACGACCTCGATGGCTTCAACGGGGCCACGTCGCAGGAAGAGGTCCCGATGCTGTGTGTGGATGGCGGCGCACGAGTGTGGGCTCAGGTTGAGCCGCTCGATGCCTCTGTGGACGCAGGCGTCAACGATCCTGATGGCGACACCTGGCGTCACGTCGCAGGTAGAGGAAGACGCCCCTGATAGTGGTAATGGTAGCGAAGCTGTGCTCGCCGCCGCTCATGATCTCATGATCCAAGTGCTGCTGGCCCGAGCGGAGCCGACCGGTGATGGGCATGGTGGATTCGATCATGATGGCGTCGATCCATTAGGCTAGGCGCTTCTGCAGTACCTGTCCCAGCAGCAGGATGTCGGCGTCGAGGTCGTCGAAGGCGACCCTACTTCTCTGGCACCTGGAGCAAATCGAGGAGAGCATCCAGACCATGGCCCAGCTCTGTGAGGAGGAGCGCGCGGTCCCGGATGCGATCCACGAGGTGATCGACCAGGGCCTCATTGAAAGAGTGAGGCCGTCGGACGGCCGCGACGAGCGAGTCGCGTGCTAGACGCTAGTTGCCCGGAGGCCGTTCGAGATCGAAGTAGTGCGAGACATCCGGCGGGTGGCGGGGTGTGCTCGGGCGTCCGCGGGTGGCATAACTGGCGGAGCCTCGTGTGGTAGAGCGCCACCCCCCGCGGGCGCCATCGGCTCAGTCTTGCGAGTCTCTGCCATCGGGCTGTCCTAACCTAACCTTCCGCTCCTTTCACTCCAGCTCTTGCTTCTGCTGCTGTTCGTCCTCGCCCTTCGCCTTCCTCGTCGTCCTCATTTCCCTCCTGCTCATCCGCCACCTTCTCCACGTGACTCCCTTTCTTCCCGATTGCACACGACACGATAAGGGGCCCGCGTTGGAGTTTCAGGTCTGCTATGACGCGCGTCGGAGGATAGAGAAATGATCAGCGCAATGGGAAGTCATGGGAGGGAGGGATATGACGTCAGATATGACGCGAGCGCACCTGGCCTGTCCTCCTCCTCTCTCCTCCCTCCTCCCCCCCTTCTCCTTCTCACTCTCCTCACCCGCTCTCGTCCTAGTCGTCCTCGTCTTCCGCCGCATCCGTGCCCTGCCCCTCCCGGCTCCCCTCCCCCCTCCTCCTCCTCGTCCTCCTCCTCCTCCTCCTCCTCCTCCTCCTCCTCATCTTCCTCTTCGCTTCTGTCGTCCTTCTCTTCTCCTCCCACCTCCTCCTGGTCTTCCTCTTTGGGAAAGTGCTTTTGCAGTGGGCGTCTGCTGTCTTCCTCCCGCTCAGCCGCCCGGGCCGCCCCTGGCCCAGCTCCGCTCTTGCGCGTTCGCGCTCGGTGCCGCGCCATCGCGTTCGGAAGAGCGGGGGACGAGGATGGGGACGAGGAGGAGGGGCAGCAGCAACATCAGCAAGAGGACGAGGCTGCGCAGCAGGATGGAGCAGGAGGAGGAGGAGGAGGAGGAGGACTTCTCGCCACGCAGGCCAGCGCCTCTGAGGTTATTCATCCCAGGTTTCCGAACGGAGGGGGCCTCTCTCCTCCCACTCCCACTCTCCCTCCCTTCCCACTGCTTTCCCCCCTACATCCCTCCATCCCCCTCCCCCCCTCCTTCAGCATCCCCCTCCCCCAACTCGCCATCCTCCATCTCCCGCTTCTCCTCTCCCCCCTCTTCCCGCCACTTCCCCCCATTCTCCCCCCCTCTTTCTCCCTCTCGCCCCCCCCCTTCCGATCCCTCTCCGTCTACTTCCTGGCACCACTCCTATATCCCCCCTTGAAACTCCAGGACGTATTCATAACCCGACCCCCCCCCTCTAACAGATGTCAGAACTCTTCCTGATGATGTTGATGAGGATGATGATGATGATGAGGAAGACGATGATGATGCTGATGATGATGGTGACCTGAGTGGAATAGGCATATAATGAACACGGCGATGCCGCTGATGACGATGCTAGCGATGACGTTGACGATGATTACGACGATGACGACGCTGCTGATGATGATGCTGATGATGATGAGGATGAAGATGGCTGAGGAGGGGAGTAGGATGAGGATGAGGATTATGATGATGCTGCTGATGATGATGATTGATGATGCTGATGAGTATGAGTATGATGATGGCGCTGATGATGCTGATTATGCTGATCGTATGTATGACGACGATGCTGATGATGGTCTTGCCGATGATGATGGTCTTGCTGCTGCTGCTGATGATGATGCTGGTACTGCTGCTGATGCTGCTGATGATGATGACCATGATGCTGATGCGTATGATGATGCTGATGCGTATGCTGATACTGACGATGATGCCGATGATGGTAATGACGGTGATGATGTCGCTAATGATGACCATGCTGGTGATTCGGCGAACCGCGACGTTGCTGCTGCTGATGACGATGGTGTCGATGATCAAGGGAGTGATGATGACATTGCGACTGCTGGGGGTGATGAGGACAAGTAATGATGATGGCGATTGTGACGATGCTTGTGATGCTGCTGATGATGATGTCGAGACCGACGCCGATGACGATGCTGACGACGATGATGAGGATGCTGCTGCTGATGATGCTGGTGCTGATGATGCTGATGATGATGATGGTGATGATGATGGTTGTGATGGTAATGACGATGACGATGATGGTGATGCTGATGATGACCACGATGCTGCTGCTGATTTATGATTATGAATCGGATGATGATGCTGCTGCTGATGTTGATCATATTGATGATGATAGGTATGGTGAGCATGATGATGACGATGATGATGATGATGATGATGATGCTGATGATGCTGCTGATGATGATGATGAAGATGATGATGATGAGGCTGCTGACGACGGTGATGATGATGCTGATGATGATGATAGTGATGATGATGATGATGACGACACTGGTGACGACGCTGCTGATGATGATGTTGATTACGATGGCTACGGCCCTGCTGCTGCTACTGGCTTTGATGACCGTGGCGACAACGATGGTGATCATGCTGATGATGATGCAGATGATGATGGTGATAATGATGATGATGATGCTGATGATGATGATGATTATGATGATGCTGACTATGATGATAAAGGGGAGAAGGAGGCGGAGGAAGAGGAGGAGGAGGCTGCTGCTGCTGTTGCTGCTGACGGTGACGATGGCGATGACCATGGCGATGATGATGATGACGATGATGATGATGATGATGATGAGGATGAGGATGAGGATGAGGATGAGGATGCTGATGATGATGCTGATGATGCTGAGGATGATGATGTTTTTGATTGTGATGCTGTTAATGGTGCTGTTTTTTGATGATGATGATGATGATGATGATGATGATGATGATGATGATGATGATGATGATGATGATGATGATGGTGGCAGTGATGATGACGATGATGATGCTGATGATGATTATGATGATGATGCTGGTGATGATGATGATGATGCTGATGATGATGATGATGATGATGATGATGATGGTGGTGGTGATGGTGATGGTGATGGTGGTGGTGATGATGGTGATGGTGTCGGTGATGGTGATGTGGGGGCCGCCGCCAGTGGGAGGGCCACTGGGTACGGGTCGCGTGGGAGCCACCGCCATTCGGAGCCGCCTGAGTAAGGGCCGCTCGTGTTGACCGTGTACGTGATCGCGCCGGCATAAGAGCCGCCGTCACTGGGAGGGCCAGCAAGAGCCACCAGTGGGCGCCGCCTGCGAGGAGACCGCGGCATGTGGGACCGCCCGCGGGAACCGCGTGCGTAGGAACGCCTGCGTAGGAGCCGTCGCCAGCGGGAGGGCCAGGTGGAGCTGCATGCTGAATCGACTACTGATGATGATGATGATGATGATGATGATGATGATGATGATGATGATGATGATGATGATGATGATGATGATGATGATGATGATGATGATGATGATGATGATGATGATGATGATGATGATAATGATGATGGTGGTGGTGATGATGATGATGATGATGATGGTGATGGTGGTAGTGGTGGTGGCGATGATGATGATGGCGGTGGTGGTGATGGTGATGCTGTTGATGATGGTGCTGCTGATGATGATGAGGATGGCGACAATGATATGTTGTTGTTGATGGTGCTGATGATGGTGATGATTATGATGATGGTGATGATGATGTCGATGGTGATGGTGCTGATGACGATGACGATGACGGTGGACGTGATGGTGATGATGACGATGCAGTTGCGGCTGCTGCCGAATATGATGATGATGATGATGATGATGCTGATGATGATGATGAGGATGAGGATGATGATGCTGATGATGATGGTGACGGTAGTTGTGGTGGTGATGCTGGCCCTGATGTTTATGATGATGGTTGTGATGATGATGGTGATGCTGATGATGATGCTGTCGGCGATGATGATAATGATGGTGATGATGACGATGCTGATGATGACAATGATAATGTTGTTGATGATCATGCTGGTGGTAATGATGTTGTTGTTGATGATGATGCTGATGCTAACGGCAATGGTGAACGTGACTGTGATGATTGTGATGATGGTAAAGGTGTTTTTGTTGTTGATGATGGGGATTATGATGGTGACGGTGGTTGTGGTGGTGATGCTGATGGTGATGGTTATCATGGTGGTGATGATGATGAGGTTTTTGTTGATGATGGTGTTGCTGGTGTTGCTGTCGATGATGTTGCGGGCGATGAGGTTGTTCGCGATTGTAATGATAATGGTACCGATATGGATGATGGTGATGACATCTGTGATGGTGATGATCTCTATGGTGATGTTGAATGTGATGATGCCGGTGATGACGACGAATAGGACGACGAGGAGGCTGAGGAGGATAATGAGGGGGACGGCTAGGAGCCCCCGCTTCCCCTCTGCTCCCCTTCCGTTTCCCCACTCCCCGCTGGTAGCCCTCGCGGACGGCAGTGGGATTCACGGCTGTTGTGCTCCCGTTGTCGTCCCCATCTTCTTGTGTCGTCCTCCATCGTCTGGCCTTCCCTTGCTGGCCAGAGTTCTTCCGCTCCCCTCTGGCGAGGACGAGGAGGAGGAGGAAGAGGATGGGGGAGGAGGAGGAGGAGGAGGAGGAGGAGGAGGGTAAGGAAGCAGACGACGGCGACGACGACGAGGAAGAGGAGCAACAGGAAAAGGAAGATGATGAGGGCAGGGACGAGGACGGGGGGGAGGAGGAGGAGGGAGGATTAGGATGAGGAGGAGGAAAAGGAAGAGGAGGAGTTGGCCGTGCCTGCGGGATTGTGAGACCATCAGGCTGTCAGGCTGCCGGGGGGAGGGGAGTCCGACGACGACGTTGGTGGTGTTTTGCGAAGGCGACGACGCTGACACTGACGCTGACGGGACGGCCACCACCATTGTCGACGACGTCGGCAGCAACAGCCGCCCCCCCCCCCCAAGGTGCAGGCCTTCATCGCCGAGAACGCGGTGGACGAGAGGGCCGCGACCGCGCTGAGGGAGTCGTCGGCTGCGAGCCAGAGGCCCGCTTGTCCCTTCGAAGCCGATGAGGAGCGAGGAGGGGGAGGAAGAATAAGAAACATTGAGGATGATGGGAAGGTGGGAAAAGACTAAGAATACTAAGCCTAATACTCTTAATTAATATTACTGTCAATAAGAAAAGTGCGACGAATAGTACGACTACAAAGAAGAACATGGTGACGCTGATGCTGGTGATCATGCTGCTGATGATGATGCTCATGCTGATGATGACGATGCTAGTGATGATGATGGTGTTGATGATGATGATGATGATGATGATTGTGATGCTGGTGGTGATGATGATGCTGATGGTGATGATGGTGGTGATAATGGTGATGTTGGTGATGATGATGCTGATGGTGCGGATGGTGATGGTGATGATCATGGCGACGTTGGCGACGTTGAAGAGGACGATGAGGCTGTGGACATCATGTTGATGCAGTTGAATACCCTGAGTGTCGTGCTACCGTGTATGATGATGACAATGGTGATGTTGCTGATGATGATGACGATGCGGATGATACTGAGGACGTTGACGACGATGTTGTTGATATTGATGATGCTGACGATGATGATGATGATGCTGATGATGATGATGATGATGATGATGATGATGATGATACTTGATGTTATATTGGCGATGATGATGTCGATAGTGATGATGCGGCCGATGACGATGATGATGATGGTGGTATGGATGATGTTGGTGATGCTGATTGTGATGATGCTGCTAATGATGATGATGCTGATGATGATGATGGTACTGGTGATGACGATGTGGATCGCGATGATGCCGATGCTGTTGATGATGATGATGATGCGTATGGTGAGGATGATGCTGATGATATCGATGATGATGCTGATGATGCTGATGCTGCTGATGATGATGATGATCATGATCATGATTATGCTGGTGTAGTTCGTGATGGTCATGATGATACGGGTGTCGATGGTTATGCTGCTCTTGATGATGATGAGGGTGGTGGTGATGATGGTGATGCTGATGCTGCTGATGATGATGCTGATGATGATGATGACGATGATGATGGTGGTGGTGGTGGTGATGGTGTGGGGGGGAAGGGATGGTGGGAATGGTGGTGGCGAATGTGATGAGGCTGAGGGCACAGACGATGATAATGATGATGCTGATGATGATCATGATGATGATGATGATGATGATGGTGATGGTGATGATGATGATGATGATGATGATGATGATGATGATGATGATGATGATGATGATGATGATGACGATGTTAGTGATAAGGAAGCACAGACGGAACATGAGGGCCTGGATGAGGAAGCGGAGACAGAGATGAAAGATGCAGGCGGAGAAGGATGAGGAAGAGACGAGTAGGAGGACAACGAGAAGCTGAACGAAGATTATGCTGATGATGATGATGATTGTGATGATGATGTTGCTGATGATGATAGTGATGAGGATGATGATGAGGATGCTGAGGATTAGGATGGGGATGATGCTGATGCTGATGGTTATAGCGATGATGATGATGCTGGTGCTGATGCTGATGCTCATGCTGATGCTGATGCTGATGCTGATGATGCTAATGAAGCTGTTGATGCTGATGATACAGATGCTGATGCTGATGCTGATGCTGATAATAATGCTGCTGATGCTGATGATGACAGCTGTGGTAGTGTTGGCTGTGTTTGTCATGAGAATGAGGAAACAGAGAAGGATATGGAGGAGGAGTAGGAGAAGAAGCCGGAGAAGGAAGCATATGTTGAGGATGAGGACGAGCAGGAGGAAACGGTGATAAGGATGACAGGTGGAGGAGGAGGAGGAGGAGGAGGAGGACAACGACCAGTCAGATGATGATGATGATGATGATGATGATGATGATGATGATGATGATGATGATGATTATGATGATGATGCTGATGATGTTGATAACGATGTTGATGAAGATGATGCGTATGGTGGTCTTGGTGGTCGTGGTGGTGATGATGGTGATGTTGGTGATGTTGATGATGATGATGCTGATGACAGCTGTGGTAGTGGTGGCTGTGCTTGTCATGAGAATGAGGAAATAGAGAAGGATATAGAGGAGGAGGAGGAGAAGTCGGAGAAGGAAGCATATGTTGAGGATGAGGACGAGCAGGAGGAAACGGTGATAAGGATGACAGGTGGAGGAGGACGAGGAGGACAACGACCAGTCAGATGATGATGGTGATCTTGATAACGATGTTGATAACGATGTTGATGAAGATGATGAGTATGCTGGTCTTGGTGGTCGTGGTGGTGATAATGGTGATGTTGGTGATGTTGATGATGATGATGATGATGACGAGGACGATGGCGATGACGATGCTGATGCTGATGAGGATGACGAGGATGATGACGAGGACGACGAGGATGATGACGTGATGACGAGGATGCTGATGATGATGATGATGATGATGATGCTGATGATGATGATGATGATGATGATGATGATGATGATGATGATGATACTGATGATGATGATGATGATGATGATGATGCTGATCATGATGATGATGATGATGATGATGATCATGATGGTGGTGATGATGATGATGATGTTGATGCTGATAATGCCGATGGTGCTGATCATGAGGAGGAGGAGGAGGAGCAGGAGGATGAGCAGGAGCAGGAGGAGGCAGAGTAGGAGGAGGATGCAGAGGGTGCATGTGATAAGGAGTATCCATGAGGAGGATGAGGTGCATCATTCTGGCCATTGTTTCTTCGGCGGAAGGATCCCACCGCGGCCGCGCGCGGTCGCGGCCGACCTGACCCGATAAAACGCCAACGAAAGGAAGAGAACAGATGACAGATGAGAAAGAAAGAGGGATCTGTACTACTCTACATAAATATAGATGTATACATACATATGTATGTATGTATGTATGTATGTATGTATGTATGTATGTATGTATGTATGTATGATCACACGTATTCGCACTTTCTGTAACATTGCACTTTCCATATTTTTAAATGTATCGAAGGAGAGGGAACGAGAGAGAGAGAGAGAGAGCGAGAGAGAGAGAGACACATAAATGGACAGAGGGAGTCAGAGAGAGAGATAGAGAGAGACGTAGACAGAGACAGAGACAAAAGGACGGAGGGAGGGAGGGAGGGAGGAGGGAGGAGGCTTTCTAATCTACTTTCGCGGCTAAAGTGTACGTTCTGGGGAAGCCGCAAATGGCTGACACCAGTTCACATGCCCTCGACCTTGTCCAGATCGCACGAAAGAAGATAAGGTTTGCTACGCATCCTTTGGACCAGATCCCAGATGGCACGGCGACAACGCGCCCGGCGTGCAGTCGGACGGTGCTGGCGGATGCGTCCTTCACATCACGGATTGCTAGTCTCTTGCCAGCGTGGTCAATGGAACTACCGGGCTGGCAGCACCCTTCCTCGGAATCGTCTTCGCTCGAACTACCCGGGGCTTATTCAACATAATCGTGCCTGGCTGGAGTCCAGCGCACGATGCGGATGACATGGTTTGGTGGCCCAAATGCGATTGGAATATCAAAACTGATTATTTTGTCGGAAATTGTGGGGTAAGATCAAGGTGAAGCGGAGTCGCCCGACTAGGAAATCGGTTTCGGGTCGATTCATGCGTGACGTGTGGGCGATGCGAAGCTGCGCGAGACGAGGGAGATCCCAGTCTCGTCAGGGCAGGGAGCCACCAAGTTGTTGCGTTCCTCCGGCGGCCAGGTGTACCGCGGCTGTCCCAGTGGTTGTCCTGGGATTGCCTTTGTGATGATTCTGCAGTTGTTTTGTGGTTGTCCCGCGGTTGTTTTATGGCTGTCCTGAGGTTGTCCTGTGGTTGCTCTGCGATTGCCCCGTGTTTGTTCTGTGATGGTCCTAAGATTGTTCCGTGGTTGGTCCGCGGCTGTGCCGTGGTTGCCTTGTAGTTGTCCAGTAGTTGTTTTGAGGTTATCCAGTGATTATGCAGTGATTATCCCATGGCTGTTCTGTGACTATCCCTTGGTCGTTCCGTGGTTGTCCCGTGGTTGCCCTCTTGTTGTCCAGTGATTGTCCCGCAGTTGTTTTATCGTTGCCCCGTGGTTGTCCCGTGGTTGTCATGTGGTTGCTCTGTGGTTGCCCCGTGGTTGCCCCGTGCACTTGTCCTATGGTTGCCCTGTTGTTGCCCCGTGGTTATCCTGTCGTTGTCGTCCCAATCCGCTCAGATCGAGAGAGAGGTGGGTCGATATGTTGGTAATAGGATCGATGGATAGATAAAGATATTGATGCGTAGATATCGAGATCGTCCGATCAATCGTGAATCCGATCCGACACCGACAGCAAACCGACACCTGCAACCGGGTCCCCCCCCAGCATCTCCTGATCAGACGAAGGGTGGTCCCATCGGCAAGCCACACAAAAGGACGAAGTAAAGTCTCCAACTCTGTTTCTCCTGCTCATCCTCGCCCTTGTCCTCCCACCTGTTCCTCCGGTCCCCCTCCTCCTTCGCTTTTTTTCCTCCTCTTCTACCTCTGCTTCCTACTTCTTCTCATCTTTCTCTTTCTCCTCCTCATCATCCTTATCTTCCTCCTCATCATCCTGTACCTCTTACGTTGCGTCCCCTCATGCCAGAGACAGGTACGTACTGGACCGCGGGAGCTTATCTGCCACGCGCAACCCGTCCTCCGCGCTGCTGGGCCGACTGAAAGACGCCGCCTCAATGGCGTAGGTGCGCCACCCGTCGGGTTCCGTCCGCTCCCTGCTCGCCGCTCGCCAGCCAGGTACCCTACTCCTCTTTGCCCTCGTCGTCGTCCCTTGTCTCCCTCCCTCGTCCTGCTCGTTGTCGCCTCTCACCCTCCTCGCCCATCTTTGGTCTCATTATGTAACCAGTGTTCCGGAGGGACCCGTGCGCTACTGCCCGGGTCGCCGGTCACTCGCCGGGCAGATCCTAACTAGCGTCAGAATCTGCACCTCCCCTCCGCCTCTCGGGGTCGGCGGGTTCGATGTACGGCGACATCTTTCCGTCGCTGGGTTTGCCTGGGGCGCAACGGGGTTCTTCAATAGTCTAAGAGCTTGTGAGAGACCTCTTTGAGTACGTAGGGAGGAGGAGGAGGAGGAGGAAGAGGAGGAGGAGGAGGAGGGAGGAAGAGAAACATGGAGGTCATTCCCATCGGAAGCTCACTCATCGCAGGCTTGAGCATCGTGAACGGTCAAGGGAGGGGCTAGAGCGTTGGCCTACCACTTTCTGGAATATGTTTGAAGGCTCGGGAGAGTTTTCCTAAAGCCAGTTCACTGGCCAACGCCGTCTTGCAGCTGGTCGCAGGATAGTGAGGGCGAGGAGGACATGCGGATTTGCATTACGCACCTTGCACCACATAGTTTACACCACGTAACAAATCAAGCAACTTGTGAGGACGTCTCAAGCAACGCTGCGCCCCAACCAGGCCGAGCCAGGCACATTGCCAGGACGTATCAGGAGAAACCGCGCCCAAGCCAGGCTCAACCAGGCAAATCGTAGGGGCGCGTTTGGCGAAACCACCTCCCCTTGTGCGGTGACAAGAAAGGCGAAGTGTTTTGGAACAGATGAGGAGCCCGCAGTGGCGTAGACTTGCGGCCTCCCTCCTCCTCCTCCTCCTCCTCCTCCTCCTCCTCCTCTTCCTACCTCCCCCCTTCTCTTTCGCCTGCGGTCCCTCCTCTTCTCTCCCTCCTCGCCTTCTTCTTGGCCCTCATTGATTTTCCTTCTGAGTAACTCCTCCCTTTCGCACCGCCAGACGTGTCAGTGTGTCAGTAGTGCAGGCCGACCGTTTCGCTGGAGATTTCCCCACCATGAGCGGTTTTGAATTAGGAATTTGCCACAGCTTCACGGACGGAGGACGGGGGATTTTCAAAATGTGGTTGTTGCATCGGCTCCGCGCACGTGTGCTCCAAATGTGCGCTGCAGTTTTACGGATGGAGGGCGGGTGGTTTTCAACATGTGGTTCTCGCCTTGGCGCCGCGCGCATTCGTCTCACTCTTTTTGAATGAGTTTGCTCATGAAGGGCGTTTCTTTTCAATGTGGCTCTCGTCTTAGCGCCTGGCACACATGTTTTTGCCGGTTATGGCAGTTTGGGGGATTCGTATCGTTCCCAGCTTAGGATTACCAGGACATAACAGTCACGTGATTTCTTTGTGTTGAAGCCCCAACTTGCTGTTTTGACATTATTCAAGTTTGTTAGGACGCAACAGTCACGTTGTTTCGTGGCGCCGAAGTCCCAGGAATGGTGTTAGGGAGCGGTGGAAGATTCTCAAACGGATGTCCTCCAAGATCCAAGAGGGCACGTCCCGCAGTGAACATGCATTATTGAAGGGACTTGCGCGGACGGGATGATCAGAGAGGCCTTATTGCAACATCGTTGACGCGTCTTGGGTTTGCACTGGTCGACTTCCTTCCTCACGATT